ACGTGGACCGCAGGTGAAACGTGAATATGCGCGAGCAATCTGCTGTGCGATCGGAGTTTTCTCTTTTGAGGTAAGGATTTTCGTCGACGAAAGGGCTTTGTACACGTCCCGTGGCCAGACGGGGCACATACAAAGGTGGTGCCTTGTCGAAGCGCGTCGGCGATACCAAGCGATACGAGGAACACCTGGCAAGACGATGGGAGGGATCGAGCACATGCGGAGGATAGGAACGGAACGCGCACAGCGCATCGTCCGGAGAGTAATGTTGGGAAGTGTGCAGCTGTCATAGCAGCTGCGAACCTCCTTCCATCTCTCTCTTTCTCTTTCTTTCTTGCCCGGTGACCGACAGCTTTCCTCCGGCGCCTCCTGCACCTTTTGCCTCACATCGGCTGCACGCCGCCTAATTCCAGCCTCGGCATACTGATTCTTTTACGGATTTTTATTCTCCTTCGTCGTAGTAAATTCTTTAACACAGCTGGAAACCAACTGACATAGCAACGGAAGACTAAAAGATGCTCTAGAGCACGTATCAGGGATTAGAATGTCCTTTAATCGATTTTATGACATCTTTTAGACATGCATGCTTCACATGCCGTACCTCTGCGTTGTCTCACAATTTTATTGGAATGAATGTTTTAATAAGCACGTATATTTATATATAAATGCAATGAATGTATTATTGTTCAACGTGTTTATAAGCTTTTAACTAGGCTAATCCTTTTACTTTCGCCATATATTACGATTTTGTATTTAATTGATTTCGTGATTCTTTTAATATAAAAGAATTGATTTTATTTTAAAGGGCCAGGAGGTTTGTAGGATCAAATTAAACGTGATTTTATTTTAAAGGAAAGAAATAAATGAATACACTTGTTATTTACTACTATTTTTAAGATGTATAAATTACTTTTGAGGCTTCCAATTTTCTTCACAGAAATGCGATTCAATTGCGGATTCAAGTCTTGATCAATTTTGATCAAGTTAAATGCTATTTATAATAATCGTTAGAAAAATGTTTTTACAAAATAATAAGAATACAAAATAATAATAAACATAATAATAATAATAAAATTCTAATTTTTAAATTAATAATTGATGTCATACTAATTTGTTACCAATTTGTAATATTGTTATTACCATTTTTTTAACGTCTATATTAGGTTCAATATATAGAGCAAAGTATCTTAAGAAAAACTAAAAAAATAGCAAAATTTGAAAATTTCATAATATCTTCAAAACTCCATAATGTCTTCAATGATAAGAAACTCCTATATTTTTAATAAATTTTATATTACTAATAATTTTCTAAATCTTAAATATAGCAAAATAACTATAAATAATATTAAACTTTAAATATAACATTTACAAAGAATTATGTCCTATTATTATTATTATTATTCCTTTCTCTGAAACAAATTCACAAATTTCACCTCCAATTTAATCGTATAAAACATTTAATCATATAAAACATTTAATCATATAAAACATTCAACCCTTCTAAATAAAAAATAATAATAATATAAAATAGATATTCCAATTCAATTATATTTTATATTTCCTTTGTGATATAATTAACATTACATTAGCATTTTATTTTAATGTGTTCTTCAAATAATCGATGATTCGGTGTAATAATTTACTTTATGACATAGAGAAGCCCGCATCCATTAACTCCATTTTAAAACCAACTACCATCATCGCGAGAAAAGAAACATCCTTGCTGCTTTCCAAGACGAAGAAATCTGGCTACATCTGTGTTCGCTTCAGCTGCCTCGTGTGTAAAACTAAACTTCCTACCCTGCCCACACATCTGCTCGCTGCTCTCTTATGATACATCCGTAATGGATGTTGTGCGACATATCTCGACAATAAGAATAAATGAAGCGGTAGTACATTCATTAATCTCTAAACCTCAATTTTTTATATTTTGCATTCACATTTACTTGCGATATGACGATTATTTCTTCTTAGCGTTATGATATTTTAATTTTATTTTGTTATAATGCATATGTATCGTTCAAACAAGTTCAATTTTAGACATTGTATCACTGTTCGCCATGCTAAATAATCGTATAGTCGATTTGTTTAAAATGAATAGTTTTATCTGATTTTATCATTTAAGTTTTTTACTGATACGTATAACTTATGACAGATTTGAAATAATTTTATCTTCTCTCGAGTAATAAATAAATTGAGAGAATAAATTGTATTCCTGTCTTATATCTGCATATAGACCTTTACACGGTCACTCGCGATTATTTACATTTGCGTAATCGACATTAGTATAGCTAGCATAGAAGCGCAATAGAAGACTCATGTCGCAAAACAGCCAGGTGAAAGGAAAGTTTCGCAGCGTTTCATATTAGATAAGTTAGTGGATTCTTCAGAATGTTGGATCTTCGACGTATTAGTCGCTTATCTCAGACCTTGAATTGAAGATTTTTTTTCATTTCAATCACGATATCATTTTCAGAGAAGTTTCAGTTGTTATTATACACAATGAAGAAACAAAGAAAAAGAGAGAGAGAGAGAGAGAGAGAGAGAGAGAGAGAGAGAGAGAGAGAGAGATTAAGAGATTAAAAATTAGATTTTATATATATTTGTACAAATAAATCACGTCAAAATTCTAAATAATATCTATAATATTACCTATATCTATTAAAAAAAATTCTCTTTTTCTAAATAAGTTATCAGTCTTCTGGAGTTAAGATTAATCGAAAACTTAAGATAAAAACGTAGTATCAATTCTGATTATAAAACAAATTACGATTTTTTGCATAATAGCTTGTTGGCTTATTTTCCTTTTTTTTTGTGTATTATGTCCCGGCACTTCTAACATCGGTTCTTCGTCTTCTTTTCTAATCGAACCATTTTAAAGCCAGGAAATTGGAGCAGCCGTAGAGCAATCGGCGCAGCTGTCGACAACTTCCAGAACATGTTGGACGACGGCAGCTGCACCGGAGCACGGCGCATTACCGCCCAATTCAATCGACAGAATGCTTATATCGAGTGTGCCTACGTAGATACATACATGCGTGTACGAGGCGGTACAGTCGAGTGTATTAAAATGCCCGGATCACGAAGCCCGCATTCGCAAGGATACTTCGAAGTAACGCTGACGAATCACCTGGTTCCTCGCAGGCACGAATGAACCGATTAATTGTGTAAACATGCACACGCTGAAGCTCCTATATAGATTATAGATTAAGATTGAGATTTTTTTAATTTGAATTGGACCAATCAAAGCAAAGGTTATTTTCATATTGGTTTTCTTTCTCCTATTGGATAATTTCAATCTCATTCTCAATCTTAGATCTATATAAGAGATCTATTTGTATTGAAATCTCCAAAAACTTTTTAAAATGAGATAAATAGATGTAGATTATATTCAGAAGATAAAAAAAAAGAAAGGGAAGATATACTGAGTGCAAAAGGTGCAAGCAATGAATTTGATTGGATATATTATAATACGAAAACCTGTTCTTTTTGATTGAATTTTTGCACCAGGTTTATCTTTTTTCCGCTTTCGTTTTTCCTCCTGAAGAGAAAAGGAAGAAAGATGAACTAATGCAAAAGTTTAGTTAAAAAGGACAGGTTTTAATATTGATGTATATTAAAGCCATTGTACACTGATTTAATCTGAGTGAAATGTAAATATTTTTCTCGAATTATAAAATATATATTTTACTTCACAACACTAAAATGTATTGAGGACTTCACGGTTTAACCCATTTCTATATTTATATGAAACACACATTTTTATATTAATTTGTGTATGACGGCTTTAATAAATACCAGTATGAACTGAGTGTATTTAATTGAATTCGCTATCACTCTCTAGTTTGATAAGCTTTAGGGTCATCTTTCGGAGCGCCATAAATGAAGCTCTTATCGAGCAGAGGAGCGGTAAGAAACATTATTTCTGCCATGTGTACGACACTGCGTATGCTGATACGCAGATAAGGGAAAGTTAAGAAGTCGACCGCGCGAAAATGCCGATATCACAACTCTTTGTTGTACATACATTTATTGAATTCATTTTCGGAAAATGATAGAAAATATTAAATGAACTAAAAACGTTATTGAGGTGGAAGAATGATCGTATTAAATTCTTAACATTAAGACCACCAATGGTCAAATACAATTTTAACTTCTCTAATCATTTTAATGTTTTCTCTTTTTATATTAGATATACAATACAAAATATTGAAAATTTATGAAATAGAAGATATACAATACAAATAATTCTAACGATATATAAATAATATCAAAATATAATTTTTCACTAACCGACAACAAGGATTATATAGAAAATTATCAATCGGTAGTTGTAGCGGGATACCATCGGCGGTTCTAATGCTAAATTCCGTTATTACTCTTAAATTAAACATTTAACATGATCCTTAATTAATAAATAAAAAAAACATATAGTGCTACACATCAAAAAATTAATAAATCGTTTTTTTCCTGAATATAAATAATACATTTCATAAATTTATAATATATTTTATAAATATATACTTCCTTTACAAAATTCAGAAATTCAATTCAATACTAAGAAGATAATAATTAATTAATCGTTTTAAAACACTATTATTTATAATGAATAATTACTATCTTTCGGTAAATTTCCACAAGAGTTTATAATATACTTTTATAATACTTAATACTTTATTATATAGCGTCTCCAGTCGTCGAATAGTCATATTGTTCGCGAACTTACCGTTTCAGATATCTGGTTGACATTATAAGTGAAACGTCCAGGAATCAAAAGTAGGCGGCGTCGAGAACACCACTGCCCTTCAACAGTTCAATAGCGTCGACAGGTCGTATCACGCAAATCGTCAAGCGTAATGACGATGTCCTGCGATGACCACCGAATTGGAATACCTTGAACTTGCCTCCAAGGCAATTCCCTTCAATCACCCTCGATTAATTAAAAACAAGTTTACTCAAACTCATTTTTCCTCTTAGATTGGTCCTTTTATCTCTAATCTCAAATTTATATTTATTTCGAACTTTCTATCAAAGCTTAATTCCGAAACTCAATGAATCGAATGATGTAAATGGATCGGAAGAGTATTCACACAATCGAATATTGTATAATCACGATATTCTCTCTCTCTCTCTCTCTCTCTCTCTCTCTCTCTCTCTCTCTCTCTCTCTCCTCCTCCTCCTCCTCCTCCTCCTCTCGATATAGATCTGGAGCGGCAGATCTAATATGAACACACTGCGTGACACGCGTTAAGAGCTTCGTTTCTTACGAAATAGCCACGAGACGAGTTCGAGGAAGCGATGTGTTGCGCGTCGCCTGGAGTTCGTCGAACCTGAATCTATCTATCGTCCGGACTTCGTCCGGCGAATGTTCCTGCTTATCTGTACAACAAGGGAAACTCGCGTTCGCGTGCGTTCGCAGTCGCGCGACAGCGTAAAGTCGACTGCACAATCGCGTGCGGTCGCATTACCGTGTATGTATGTACGTGCGAAGTCTGTATACGACGCAAGACGGCAAGACCGCGACCCCACCGCGTTCTAGGCAAAACTAAGGTCCCTCAGGATATCACCGCTCGACGGCGGGGCATACGCGGTATACGCCTAGGTAGCCGCGGAGGCAGGTGACGGTGGACAGGTGAACGTGTTGGCGGAACACAGGAAGTGCTGGAGACAGACGATACAAAAGCCCTTTCGATAGAGGGGGAACGACGACACCGGAGGAATAAAAGAGGGAGTGAGAACTTGCCAAGTGCCTAGAAACAGAATTGTAGAGAACGTAGTTAGCCGCAGGAGAACATTTCCAAAAGCGCGCGTCATACTTTAGGTTCTTCCGATAGAAAGAATTCAGTATAAAATATATAACGATATAAAATATATAATACGAATTAATTTAGTCAAGAATTCATTTAGATTTCGATGTTCTGCCATAAATGGTGCACTAAAAGAATGTTGTTATCCAACTACATTATTTTAATTAAAAATACTGTTATTAATTCATACATAATATTATTAAAACATTATACTCTTGTTTTAATAAAATTTTATTCCTTTTATTAATACTGTTATTGAATCAACAAGATTATTTTCAATTAAAATAATACTGATATACTCTTTTTTAATATAATTGTTAATATGTTAATTAATATAATATAATTGTTAAAAAATTTAATGTAATTTAATATAATTGTTAAAAAAAACTTTTGTTTTTTAATAAAGATTTTTTTTTTTTTATTAAAGAAGGACATTAGAATTAAATTACATTAACAAATAGATAATAATTGGTAATTTATTAATTTATATATGACATTATTTTATTATGTAACTACTGGAGAAAGAAGAGAGAGTGAGAATTTATAAAGAGTGCCTACGCTGCAAATTCAAATATGTAAAAAAAAAGTCTAAACGTCTAAACGTGTGTGACTAGTTTTCCGTGTAAAAATGACGCATTATATTCTGCATACAAATGAATTTACTCATTTAAATATGTATAGTGTCATTTTTATACGGACGACTATATAAATAACACACATTTTTGAAATCACTTTTTACACATTTGCAATATAGGACTACATTCCAAAATGTCCACTTCGAAGAAAATTTTACTCGATATGATTTACGTTATATATACTATATATATTTCTTAGAAATATGATTATGGAGAGTCACGCGTAATAGTGGTAGGAGAAAAAATTTACATTTTGGATTCTTTCAATAAAAGGAATCGTTCTTTTCTTTTACAAAATGCAATTGTCATCGAAAGCAAAAAGATCGAAAATAATCCGATGATGCGAATTAATTTATTTAAATTAGAACTCGGAAAAATAATCCGAATTTTATTAAATTCGTGTTAATTTGTTGACAATTTTTATAATCGAAACGTTATCCTCGCCTCGATTTCCCACTTTAGTTGAGAAAAAGATCGGCTTTAGATTGTGGGTCGTAAACTTAACGTCCCACGGTATTCTGAGAAGCGTAACGATAGCAATGATATATACGTAGCGGATATCGTAATAATAACATTTAGAACTGACTGTATCGCTTTTGTCGGATCAATTATATTGCCTAATGGCACCTTTTGATACTATCGACAAATACGTATCTCCTTTATGTATTCAATAAATATCCTAAATCAATCTCTCTTCTCTTCTAAGCACAAAAGAATACAATTAAGATTATCTATCTCACGATTATGTATCTCAAAAATCGAAGAACGTTCAATTCTCAGGAGCTGAAAAATTTGTAACATAGTTAAGTAATGAGCTAAAAAATCCATTTAATTTATTCTAATTAAAAGGCACTAATTAATTTTAAAGACTTAAATTAACAAAAAAGAAATGAAAACTCATGTAAACTTATATTAAAAAAAAAAAATGAATACTAATTAACAAGTATATTTTAATAAGAATAATTCAAAGCAGATGTAACATAAAGAAAATTGAATCAATCAATTAACATTTTTGCCAAAAAACTTTATAATGGAATAAATCCACCATTAACTCCGAAAAATTAAGATTCAGTTCCATAAATGTAAAATCAATTTTAATCTCGGTTCAATTTATTTTTTATCTTTTTTTAATTCTTAGATTTAAAAAAAGATAAAGATTAAATTACTGAAATAAAAATTAATCTTACATTTGTGGAAATCGAGTATAAGAAATCTGTGGAGAAAAAAGAAAGATATATATCCATATTTATATATAGTCAGGTCTTATATTTAAGACTTCCTTAAATTTATCTTCAGATATATAAATATATAGACATACTGTACGAATTATTTCAGTGGTTGCTGAGCATGCAAAGATAAATTTAAGGAAGCCTTATAAGTATAAGATTTGACTATGAATACAGGCAATAGTCCTTGAAAATATTAGGACTATTTCGGTCATCCGATTTCACGTAGACACATCTTATGAATTTACTCGTTCACGTCGAGAGAGTTCACTGTGCTAAGCAACAACATGGCGTTATTATGCCGCTTGCGACTCATTGCGTACAGGAATAGCTCGCACATGTCTCTTTCTTTTACTCTTTTGCTTCTTTCTTTTCTCTCTTCTCCGCCCCGATACGCGCTTACATACATCGTTGCGAGCGTTCACGTAGGAAAAGCTCTCTCTTACTCTTTCTTTCTCCCTTTTCCTCCTTTCCTCTTTCTTTTCTTTCCTTTTCTCCTCTCATCCTCTCTCTTTCATTCTCGACGAAGGATAGTACACTCGAAGCACATCGTTCTCTGCCGTTCTCCAACGTTGTAATGCGAACGGTGAAGTCATTGACTGTGAAACCGAGGTGACGAATACGAACTAGGAGTACGAGAACGTCAGTTTCAGATTCCGTTGATGTTTTTAGTTAATGGAACTGGATGGAGGTCGAAATGTATCTCGGAGGAACATAAACACCATCAGTGACATTTATTTATTAATATTATAATTTCTTACTCAACAATACAAGTATAATATAAATTAAAATACATTGTATATATAATAATTACATTGTTGAGTAGAGAATTAATTAATATTGATAATGTTATCATTAGTGTTTACTGAGATGCACAAATCATGCAAATATTGGATTGTCCGGAAAGTTCGTGCCTAACTAACCTATATAATTTAATAAATGTATATTAAAATTTAAATTTTCCTTCAAAATCGGCACGAACTTTCCGGACAACCCAATATATTATGAAAAATATTATTTATAATGTTTCCAAACGATGCAAGATTGCATCTTAATGACGTAATGGGACGCGAAGAATATATAAAAATATATACGCAACTAACGTTTCGAAATATCTTTATTGTTACTAATTTTTAACTAATAATTGTATGTGTGAGTTTGATAAAATTGATATTTCTTATTCATGTAATATATATAATTTTCGTTATATATAATGAAACACTTGATAAGAAGTTCTCAGGATAATTTTGATCAAACTACAATTAATTTAGTCAGCAATTAATTTATCAAGCAATATCTACATTATTTTACTAATATAGAATAAGTAATATTTCTTATTTTTTTAATTTAATACACGAAGAAAAGATTAAATTACGAACGACAAATTAAATTAAAAATTTTGCAATAGGCAATTATTCTAGCAATTTAATTAATTAAATTAATAAAAGTTTAGTTGAAATAATCACTCTTATTATAATCATTTTCAAAAATGTAGACTAATTGAGATATTTTTTAATTTTTAGGAAAAGTAGAATATGAAACTGAGATTATAAAGTTGATCTACGTTTGTAAAAATGAAGCGATATTTCGATCGAACTTTTATTAATTCTATTTTTTTTCTAATTCTTGAAATAAAAAAAAAATAAAGAACTACGTAAATCAAGGTTGTAATTAATTTGGATTGATGATCGAGCGATCATCAATGACTTTAATCAAATTGTGGTTAACTTAATTAATCGATCGATAACTATTAATTGATCGTTTCGATGTATTAAACAATAAAAGAGTTTTTATTAATTATATTAACTGTATTAACAAAATAAAATTAGTAAGTATAGATATTCATTTGCTAAGTTAATAATCATTGATGAAATTAAACAAATCGAGTTTAATTAAAGTCATCCTTATGCAACAGAAAATCAATGTACGTCATCGAGAGTTAATTCATATGCAAGAAATGTTGACGTAATTTGTGACATAAAAACTGTGTCCTCGTTTAACTGGCAACCAATGGAGTGAAAGTTATTACGAATAACATTACCATTAACGATAAGTCATTGTAAGTGATCGGCAAAAAAAACGATCGATAATGACGATTTTTTTATTACCCTGAGATTCTTTTATGATCATAAAATCTTACTCAACATTTAAATGTTGAGTACTACAGTCGCGTGCAATAGAGGACACTACACGTCATTCATGCCAGTCTCTTCTCTACTCACTTTTCTTTCTATGTCGCTTTTTTTTTTACAAATGTATTTATTCCGGCATAAATGTGACCGATGGAAGTGTAATGACCACGGCGTGTAATGATAAAGAAATTCTGTGATAAATAGAATCATGTCAAGTAAAATGTTCAAAGGATCAAATAAACCTGAAGCCGTTTATTCGTGATGTAAACAATATTTGCTACACAAATTTTTTTCGAAACAATACTTCTGT